TGTCGTGCACCTGACGCCACAATGGACGACTATCCGATGTATGGGTTGCTGGTTGGGTTCTCTCTCTGGGGGACCCTCTGGCGCCTCCTCTTTCCTCTGGGTTTCTGGCCCACTTTCACGTGTAGAGTAGGGCCCACTCATGGTGGTACTTCCACCAGCCCCTACACGAAGGAGGAGGAGGAGAAGATGGCCGCCATTTTGCACGAGAGGAAGGAGAAGGAGGCCAAGAAGAAGGCCTTGAAGGAGGAGCAGGCGGCCAAATTGAAGAAGATAGAAGAAGAGATGGTCAGAGAGAAGGAGAGGATAAAGAAGGAAGAGGAGGCGAAGTTGAAAGAGGTGGACGAGGAAGAAGAGGAAGGGCCGCCACTGCAAAGGAAGAGTGGGCAGAGCAGTGGCGGCAAGGATGAAGAAATGGAGAAGCGGATTTCAGAATGGGTCGCCAACTTGTCCCTGGGTGAAGAGGAAGAGGTTGCTATGTATATCCCCAAGGATAAGCAAGAAGCCGCCATGAAAAAATGGGAAGCAGAGGAAGATGTTCTGACGCGGCGGGCGATGGATGAACAGAGGATGGCGTGGAAGCTCGCAATGATGAGGGAGAAGAAGAGAAGAGTGGAGGCGGCGAATGCAGCAATACAAGAATTGGAGGAGGTGCAGAAATTGAGGTTACAATTGACACCCTAGGTAGATCTCGAGCGGAAGGTGGAGATCATCCCCCAGAGCGTCGAGCGTTTAGCCAAAGTGCAAGAAAAGCACTATGAGTTTAGTCGCAGCCAGGAAATATCGGTGCGTTCGATGCGAACGGGATTACGGGACTTTGCTCGCGAGTTAGTAGGCGATGTGGGGTCCGAGGTGAGTCATCGCCTCGAGAAGACTGAGCGTTTTTGTGTCGGCGCCATTGAGGGCGTCAAGGTGGTAGCTCCCAAGGAGGAGGAAACTCGTCCTCGCACGGAGCCAGTCCAAGTCAAATTCCCTGATTCCTACAGTGGAAAAAGGGAAGAGAACTTTGACAATTGGGAGGCCAAAGTTAGGACCCATGTGCATTTGCAACAGGTCTCCCCGGACCAGCAGGTCCTAATTGCGATCCACACGCTTAAGGATGAGGCCGCTAGTTTTGCAAGGTCCCTTGTTCGCGCTGCTAACTGCAGTGACGATCCAGTTGCATACTCCACATTCACCCCCCTCGTTGAGTTCCTGAAATTGCTGCGCGAGCGATTTGCTGATGTCTCTCGTAGTGTTAAAGCGTCAGATAGGCTGCAGACGATCCACGCCCGCAAGTGGAAGAGTGCCAGGGCACTCAAGAGTACAATGGATGAGTTAGTGGCTGTCCCTGACCATGGGGTTACGGACACCCAGTTGGTCGGCCTCTTCTATCGGGCCATACCCGAAGCCCTCCGAGGGCATTTCTTCGCAAAGAGCGAAGACCCTGCCGCTACGTACGATTCTCTTAGTCGCGAAGTGGTGGCCTTTGAAGCCAAGTCTGCGTCTGTGTCCACCTTCTGGCACAAAGACTTGGATAAGGGAAAGCAATGGAAGGGCCGCACTATCTCTGGGCAAGTGAAGACTAAGGATAGCCTTGTCCTAACTCTAGACGAGGGTACTGTGGATGAGATCCCCTACGATCAGATTGAGTGGGGGTTAGAGGAGGATGACAGCGGTGTGGGCCAGGGGAGGACTTATGCTGCTGTCGCGGCTGGAGGGAGGCCGCAAGGAGGACGAGGCCAGGGCCAAGGGGGTCGGGCCTCAAGGAGCCGGTTCCAGGGCGATCAGGGGGTTGGCGGTAGAGGAGGAAACCGCCAAGCGGGAGGCAAGGGTCAAGGTCCCCCGCAAAACCGTCCTAGGAATAGGCCACCCTATAGAGTAGGAGGATGGCACTCAGGGCTGCCGCAGGGCAGGCCTTGTGAATCTTTGGGTCTGGACCAGACTTTATGGCAACAACGATTGGACCGGGGCCAGTGCATTTTCTGCGGTGACCCGGGCCACATCATCAAATACTGTCCTAAGTATCGCGAAACCCGAACGGCTGCCCAGGGGCCAAAAGGCAGCTGCCCGTAGGGGTAGCAACTGCCCCTACCACCAGGCCATGTGGGGAACATAGCGCTAGCCGGCAAGAGACTCCCACACCACATGTGCCTATGGCAGAGGTTGCAGGCCGGTGTCTAGATAGCTGCCCAAAGACTGCTTGTGTCTCTCTAGACACCTCCCTCACAGGCGTGGCCGAAGAATTGAAGGAGAGGAGGCCCGCCTGGGCCAAGATGAAGAAGGAGAATAAAGGGCAGCTGATTTTATTAGATGCAGAGATTTTACGAAGTAGAGTAGGGGCCCTAGTAGACTCAGGGGCCACCCGCAAGTAAGAAAGCGCTGCAGAAGTGTAGGCTCCCTAGTGCTGCAGGCGAGGCTAAGACTGCCCGCCTGTTCCATGTGTCAGGAGTAGAGAATTCATTGACACATTGCTGCCTCAGTGCTCCTGCGTTCGCCAGATTAGTAAAGAAGGAGAAACTGGAGGAACATGTCTTTGTCGCCTATGTTAGGCCGGTAACTGAGCCTACGGAAGAAAGGCCGATGGACCCTGCGATTGCCAGGCTGCTGGAAGAGTTTAAGGATTTGATTGAGCCGCCGACAGGCACGGTGCCGCGGCCCATCCAGCACCGTATTGAGATCGAGCCTGGCACTAGAACTCCTAAGGGCGCTGTGTATAGGATGTCCCCACGGGAGTTAGAGGAGCTTCGCAAGCAGTTAGACGAGCTCCTCGAAAACGATTGGATTAGGTCCAGTTCGTCTCCGTTAGGAGCGCCTGTTCTCTTTGTCCCTAAGAAAGAGGGAGAGTTGAGGATGTGCATAGACTAGAGGGGTCTGAATGCTATTACAGTAAAGAATGTTGAGCCACTACCTAGGATAGACGATCTCTTAGATCGAGTGCAGGGGGCGAAGTATTTTTTAAGATAGATTTGAAGTCCGGATATCATCAGATAGAGGTGCATCCTGATGATCAGTATAAGACAGCCTTCCGGACTAGATATGGGCACTACGAGTTCATAGTAATGCCCTTTGGACTAACCAACGCGCCAGCAACATTCCAGCGCTGTATGAACGATTTGTTTAGGCCGTGGTTAGACAAATTTGTTGTAGTTTATCTAGATGACATTCTAGTGTTTAGCAGGACCCTCGAAGAGCATCAAGGTCATCTCAGGCAGGTCTTGGAGAAGCTAAGGGAAGCTAACTTCAAGATCAATGCGAAGAAAACCCAAGTTTTGTACTTAGGCCACGTCTTAGAAGAAGACGGCGTCAAGCCTGAAGATAGTAAGATCGCAGCGATTAGAGATTGTCCCACACCACGTACGCTGACAGAGTTGCGCTCGTTCCTGGGCCTAGCTAATTACTACAGGAAGTTCGTGAGGAACTTCTCCACCATCGCTGCGCCCCTTCGCAGATTGCTGAGAAAGGAGACCATCTAGAAGTGGGATAAGGACTGCATGTCTGCCATGAAGAAGTTAAAGCAAGCATTGATAGAGTATCCAGTCCTTAAAGTCGTCGACCCGTCCTTGCCCTTTGTCGTCACGACTGATGCGAGTCAATACGGCATAGGCGCAGTGTTGCAGCAAGACGATGGCAATGGGTATAGACCCGTAGAGTTCATGTCCGCCAGGATGCCTTCAGAGAAGGTCGCGACATCTACCTATGAGAGGGAACTCTACGCTCTCAGGCAAGCCTTAGACCACTGGAAGCACTACTTGCTTGGGAGGCACTTCAAAGTCTATTCCGACCATAAAACGTTACGATGGTTAAAGACGCAGGCCAAGATGACACCTAAGCTTACTAGGTGGGCCGCAGAGATAGATCAGTACGACTTTGAGCTCAAGCCTGTCAAAGGGAAGTACAATGTAGTTGCGGATGCTCTTAGTAGGAGGGCAGATTACTTTGGGGCGATAGTGCATTACCTCGATATAGGGAAGGACCTGCAGCAGAAAGTTAGAGAGGCCTACGCGCAGGACCCTACTTATAGTGACCTCCTTAAGAAAGTTAAAGAGGCCCCAGAGACTGAGCCAAACTACCGCACTACTGAAGGGTTGGTTTTTTAGAAGACTAATGTTTTTGACCGGTTGTGCATCCCCAATAGTGAAGAGATCCGCAGTTTGATCCTGGGAGAATGCCATGACACAGGGGGTCATTTTGGTTGGCAGAAGACTTTAGCCAATCTGATGCGCGCATATACCTGGCCAGGGATGAAGAATGACTGCGTAGAGTATGTTCGCAGTTGTAAGGTTTGCCAGCGTAACAAAAGTAACATGCGAGCATCGTTAGGTCTTTTCAGACCCTTGCCCATTCCGGATCAGTCGGGAGACTCAGTGTCCATCGACTTCATGGACACTCAAGTCAAGAGCAGGCGTGGCAAGAGCCAAGCCATGGTCATAGTTGACCGATTTAGTAAATACGCAGTTTTTGTTCCTTTGCCTTCAGAGGCAGGTACTGATTTAGTCATACAAAGATTCTTTGACTGTTGGGTAAGTGAGAATGGAATCCCACTGTCTATAGTTAGCGATAGAGATAGTCGCTTTACTAGCCAGAACTGGCAAGAACTCATGGGAGTATACGGATCTAAGTTGTTGATGTCGTCCGGCCGTCATCCAGAGACTAACGGTCAGACAGAGCAAATGAACAAGATCCTGCAGCAAGTTCTGCGCATGTACATTAGGCCAAATCAGAGTAACTGGGATGAGATGCTGCCTAAAGTAGCTAGTGCGTACAACAACAGCGTGCATCTAGCCACCTGCCGCACTCCCAACAAACTGCACAAGTCTTTTAGACCGCACAGACCGTTTGAGGGACTCAACCGGGATCAGATTCACAGATTGCCGCCCGGGACCAGGGAGTTTGCTATACAGCACAAGAAAGAACTAGCTACTGTCGTGGAGAACCTCAGGAAAGCCCAGCATAGGATGATAGAGCAGGCGAACAAACATCGTCGCCCTTCACAGTTTCAAGTAGGCGACTTAGTCTGGGTCAGTTCTAAAGAGTTTGCACCAGAGGAGAACATCTCGCAGAAGTTACTGCCCACATATAGAGGACCGTGGCCTGTTCTGGAAGTCAAGGGCGGCGAAGATGGACCGTCCTATACGATAGAACTCCCAGCACACCTCCAAACGTACCCAGTTTTCCATGCATCGAAGTTGTTACCTTGTCAAACAAGTGATCAGTTTCCATCCCGTAGATCTATGATTCCGCCCGATATGGATGGAAGGTATGACATCGATGGCATAGTTGCTGAAGATGTATTCAGAACTGGAGGTAGGGGTCGTCCACAGAAACAGTACAAGGTTCATTTTAGTTATCAGGAACCGAAAGACGACCGCTGGTTTACAAGGTCTGAACTTCTAGAGACAGCTCCCGATTTAGTCCGGGCCTACGAGAGACAGCAGAAGGGTAAAGGTCCTGCCTTGGATTGAAATTTTCTCGGAGGACCTCGAATTTAGGCCGGCCGGAGTGAAACGGTATTCACCAGTTGCAGTAGCGAATGCAGATCCCAGGGCTCGATCCCTAGTTCCCCGTCTTACCCGTGTACAGTATCAGTGTTAACCTGTAGACTTGAACCCGCGACCTGTAGGAACGCCAGTGGTGGGTAGATTGTTGTAGGTCCCAGGGTAGAAGGGAATCGAACTGTAGACCTGTAGAGTAGGAGTCTAGATAGTTCCGAAGTCGTAGTTGTAGGATGCCTGAAGGGTCAAGGTCGTAGCTGCGACCTTACCTGAAAGGGCAAAGTCGTAGCTGCTACAGTACCGAAAGGCCAAGTTAGAGACTTCTAGAAGTGGCCTTTCGGAGTTAGCCTGCGTTCAACAGAGGCAAGTGGTCAAGTGGTGGTAGGCCACCTCGCTGAGTCAACAGTCCCAGTTAGTCAGTCCGGTCCTGTCCAGCAAGTACCGTCTGGGACTGTGTGCACCAAGGGCCAAGGGACACAGGGCAGACCAACGCAGCGTAGAAGTATAAATCAAGAGGCTGCGTCCAGCCATTCATTCATTCCTGCGGATGCCATGCGGAAGCGCTGCCTCAGCAGCTTGTGCGAGGAGGTCTGCAGTGTGNTAAATCAAGAGGCTGCGTCCAGCCATTCATTCATTCCTGCGGATGCCATGCGGAAGCGCTGCCTCAGCAGCTTGTGCGAGGAGGTCTGCAGTGTGCCCGAAGACGAAGAGGGCAGAGAACCGTAGTGTAGCGGTAGGGTAGTGGCAGCTAGCGCTGCCATAGCTGTAGCATAGTGCGTGTGTGTGTTGTGTATGGATACAGAGTGTTGCGTGTGGGACATCCAGGGTGATCCAGAGTGCGAACAGTGAGTTGTGTGGGCGCACAGTCGCCATAGCCAGTTTGAAGAGAACTCTTATCTGGTCACGATATCTTTGAGTACTGTGTGGGCGCATGTCGCCAGTTTGCTGTATCCCCGTTTGCATGTATGACAAGTGTGAGAAAGTGAAGTCTGATTGCAATCACGAGATTCACCAAATAAGAACACACCAAGAGTTCATAATTGACAATGCTGAAATAGTCCCATCATCATCAACGAAGAACCAGAGTTGATATCCTATCTGGCGCTCGGCGCCCAGACTACATCTCGCAGATCCTATCTAGCCTATAGTACGAAGCCGAAAGGTGACGTCAACAGCATTCCCGAAGTACGAGCATATGGCGACCAATGTCGCACGCTTCCAGCACCAGGTATGTCTCGCGCTACACTCACAGATGCCACTAGCACCCAAGGACCACCCTGCGCTTCACCCAGCTTACAGCAGCGCAGCTCGGCTATGGCTGCGTGCTCCTTCCCTGCTTGCCCGTGAGAGCGTAGGCGCCAGCCAGTAAATAGCACAGCAGCGCTTGCGCAGCATGCAGCCAGCACCCGAATGCCGAATGAGGAGGCAGGCCCTTTGCTATATCGAAGTGGCCTGCCTGCGTCCAGTCCCAGGAAGCTTCCAGTAGGCCCCGGTAGCCTGAGGCCCAGCACGACGAGAACAGGCCTTGGGCCTGAGGTGGTTGCATGTGCCCAACTGCTTTCGGCCTGTGTTTGGCCCGGTCCCCGTATCCAGCCCAGGGCCTGCTTCACATACGTTCACACAGGCAGCCCAGAGCCTGGATTCACTCAACCAACTGGTGCTGCGCAACTGCCTGAATTTCCTTGAGTTGGGTGGTGGCCAGAAAAGGGCCCTGAGGGCCTCGTCGAGCCTGCCTTCACTTAGGGCGGCCGACGGGCTGCAAAAATGGGCCCTTATGCGGCTCATAGAGGCAGTGGCCTCGCAATACCTTTCGGAGGGCGCAAAATAGCCCCATCATCAAGGGAACCAAAGAAAAAGTTTTTGACTCTTTTTTTTTCACTCGCCCGGGTGACCCGGGCAGGCGGGTCCCAATCGCACTGGCCCGGCTGCCCAGCCGGTAGCAGCCTGGCCCGTGCGGATCTGGTAGCCCAGCTCTTAACTGAATACTTCAAATAATGCACAGGGGGTGACAGTACAGCCGAGGCTTTTTTTTACGACGCGGATTCCCCCTGCCTGCCAAGCTTTGCTGAAACACCAGTGCGGTTTGTTTGTGTTCGATCTGCCTGTCGCCAGCATCCATTTTCGGCCGGTTCCCTGAGCCCGAATTTTTCCAAGAAGAGCCTCTTGTCTGTCGTTCTCAAGTTGCCTGGGGCCATCATGTACTGGCGGTTTAATGCTACTGCCCCTGGCCGTGCTTTCTTGTATAGCTACCTTCATGTACCCGTTCTTGTGGGTTAATACTGCTGCCTACCGTGCAGAGGTCTCAGTCTTTTTGTTGTGTAACGGTCACACACCCTTTCATAGTATGAACCTGGTGCCAGTGGTGCTTGTTGTCCCTAAGATTACGGATGTATAATATGTAGAATTATGTCTTGATACAGCTGGATTTGGGTCGTACAATATGTAGATTTTTATTTATTTATTTATTTATTTATTTATTAGAATTTAAGTCTTGCTCAGATGGAAATTACATACATGCCTCCTTTGCTATCTGGAACATGCAGATGACCGTTTTTTTTTATTTTTAATGCAGATATATAACCGTATTATAGTAATAATTTTATACAATACCATATGGAAATTACATACATGCCTCCTGTGCTTGAACTGGGTTTTTGATAAAGTATCTTCAAAGTTTAAATTAATTTCATAGTATTTTACCTTTGAATCCTTTGATTGAATTTATTACAAACTTGTGAAGTCACTGAAGTGTCCTTTTTTTTTTTCTGTTTCTTTTTGCATTTCTTTATCTGACTCTTCCTTCCCTTCGTACTTTGCAGTGACTCTGCCAGCACAGTCATGCTCGAAATTGCCTCTGAACGTCAATGAATGATTTGTTCATGTTTGTCACAGATGCCACCAGGCATGTCTTCTTGGGACTCTACCCCTTCAAGGTCGCACGATGAAAATGCATCGAACATGGATGGGACCTACTGGTGGTGTGTGTGTGTGTGTGTGTGTGTGTGTGTGTGTGTGTGTGTGTGTGTGTGTGTGTGTGTGTGTTGT